GGAAGGATTGCCACTAAATTATTTGTTTATAATGTCGGTAATATTTTTTGCATTCAATGTGATGAATAGTGCGTTCAACTTCATTGTATCGGAGCCGTACACTAATGAAATTTCAATCCACTGTCTAATTTGTGGCTCTATGGTTCTAACTTCAACCTTCTAACTAAGAAGAGCGGGATCATAGGACGAGGTTAAGTATGGTATGGTACATCTAGTATAGTCTGTTAGTCATTAAAGTAATTACAAAACTGATCATGAATTAAAAATATGCAGTGTGCAGTGGCAGCGAGGTCTAGCAAAGCTGTTATTTTTCTAAGGCTGTTCGTAGAAGATCGTTGCGATCATGAGCTCAGCCAGAAAAATTGGTGCAGAGTCTTCTGCAGGCTATGGTCCAAAGAAACCATGATAAAATTTTTGCACTATACTTTTTTATCTTCAAACAAAGAGCGGACAATTCTACCTGCCCTTAGAATGTCAAAAATGGAGTATTGCGTTACGATTCAAAAATATGTAGTAATGTAATAATTGAAACGATATCATCTTCCAAGTATTTTTCAGTTCATTAAAAGCATATGAATGATTGTTTTAGAATAATAGAAGTTAATTTTTTTGAGCAAACCTGAGGTTGAAAATCACAACTTGATCGATAGAAAAAATTGTAAACGGTCATATATATAACAGAATGTAGTTTCCGAAGGCACGAAATACCTGTTTAGCTGCCCTACGGTTTTTCAAAAAGTTCTAACGGATGGGGATAGGTTTTTATGGCTAATTAGAGTCTCTAATACCAGGTATTAATGCGTCTTAATCATCTTCACTCTTAATTTTGTCATCCTTGTAATTATCACGTGGCTGATTGTGAATCGATTCCCAGGAAGGCAGTTATGTAAATGGTGCGGAGCATTGTTTATGACACTGCTTTCTGTTTTCTTTATTTGACTGAATCTGGATTAAGGCCGGATCATTCACTTTTAACTCTTAATTCTGAAAGCCACGGATATCAATTTGAAGTGACACCAGGAGGGGTTAGGCAGTGGTACAATGATCTAGCACTTTGTTTCATTCTTTAAAAGCGCAAGGTTTAAGTCTCATACCGAGAGTACATTTCCCTTTATTAATTGTTGATTCTCTTCAGCGAGGAATCTGTCCCATGTGTGCTTCGGTACATCCAGCTAGAAAATCGATGCCATGTAGGTCACCTGCGAAATGTAGTAAGTGCATGGTGTTCTAGTGTCGTCGTTCCAAAGCATGCTAAATATACGACCAAGCTGTCTGATGCGTCCACTTTTCGGCTGCGATTCGTTTTGACTCCCACTTAGATGACTAAGATCCATTTCCGCTTTCAAACGTATATTAAAGGAATATTTCAAACAGTATTAGAAAAGGAGCACCGTTTAAAGGTGGATTTGTAATGTTTACACCTCGTACGTTTTGTACAATCGAATATTTAGGATCTCCCTACACCCATTTTCAGAGACCATATCTCAAGTACAGTGCATTGAAACAGATTTCCCATGTTAATTAACGAAATGATGATGAATATTCTTGTTCTTGAAGTCAAAATTAAATCTGAGGTAGAAAAATTAGATTTTTGTAGAACCAAATTAGACTGATTGTGGAAAAACTGCCAGCTTCCTTTGGCAAGGCGAATAAGATGATAAACTTACAGATTTATTTTCAGACATTTGAACAGTTTAATATTTAGTAGGCTTCTTTTCTTAAAAATAGAATTCTTAAAAATTCTGTTTAAAACGGATGGAATGGAAAATATTAAAGTTTGAGCTTATTTGCTCACAGCTGATCTTGTTACACAGAAACTTCAATGAAAAATGAAGGGATTTAATCGTATTCAGTATTGTAAACTAAGACTGTAAATAAGATAAGCGTTTGAAGTAAATAAGGTTATAAATTTGTACAATTTTGCAGTGAAATATGCCTCCAAGCGCTATATTGAAACATTTTTGCACTTTTATCTTAGAATAAACCTGTAAATCAAATTTCCGTTTACAGTATGGAACATTTAGGAAATGAGAACGGTTTGGTTTAGATGGTAAATTACCTCTATATGAAGAAGAATCCAGTTGATTGATAAATCGTTATCAGACACTTTTCAATCATCTGCTCACGTTTTATTGCCCATTTATCGAGTATTAACTCAGGATATCTTTCACTTCGGCTGCTTCAATTGCAGGAATTTCGAAATGAATCACTATCATCGTTCCGTCAGTTGATCATTTAAATTCTCTGAAGGGCATATATGTACTTAAGAGTTCATATTTCAGGGTTTCATTTTCATGATAACATTCGGTGTGTAAGCCCGAGTTTACTAATTTGGCGCAAATGAGAGTAATACCTGAAAGTCAATGCTAATTTACAGTGAATCACAAGGAAACTTCTCTCACCTGAAAAATTCACAGACAGCGATGTGCATATCGATAAATAAGCATAACATCATCACCGATGATACGTTTCAATAGCGCTGCTACGGCTTCCATCCACGCGAAATTTCCAGTTATAACGTTATTGTTGTCATTGTCATGATGAGTATCAGGTTCAAAGACACAGGTGTCTAACGTTTAACTTATGCTGTTGGCTGCTGTAACAAACGTCATCATGATCATCTCCGCATCTTGTTTGTCGTTCCAATAATAAGGATGCTATTCATCATGGTAGGTAATCTTTTGTCGTATGACTCTGTGGACTGATTAATTACGCTTCTCATGTTTTCAGACATGGTCTATTTTCAAGTTCGCTTCCCACTTTTGATAGCGTGTTTGATCTTTGCATGTAATTTGTCTTCGGTCTTTCCGTTATCATGCATTTGCAATGCATTTTTCTGACAGTCTGCGCCTCCCTGCACATTGTTTCTCTTCTTGTCATATCCTATTTATATTCTACTCACGTTGCTTTTTCATTTTTCGATCAGTTGACGATCGCAACCACTGAATCAAATTAAGTGGTAGGCTTCGACTACTGACAAACTGTTTGATTCCACCCCCAGGCAATCTATTTTATTCACGAATTTTTTCCAGAAAAGAATTCACCGCACTCTACTACAGACCGCAGTTAACAATAACATCTCCAAACACACTAGTATGAACCACTCTACTTTTTGTACTATCTGTATAACAACGTAGTTAACAAAATGACTTAGTGTTTAGGACCGTATCAAGGATCTAGTTTGAGAAATTTTTTCATATAACATGATGATCATATTCATCCTTCGTGTATATACGTTCGTTTCATTGGACACATCTCTTACAGCACTGCTGTTTACCCTTAGGGTCTATCTGAGTAAAGCACATTCGCATTGACTCATGGATCTGGAGGTCAAATTTTTCGTCAGCATGTTTGTGGAAAAAGATAAATATTCTGACATTTATGACTGCAAGTAAATCATTTGATACCTACCATCCATGAAGTTTCAGACGGTTTCTGTAAACCTACTCGTTTACAGTATGGCTCATCATTCTCAATTACGCAGTGCAGTTGCATCGGAATGCTTGCCAAGCTGGCGAACAAGTTTGGGTAGGTCGCAACAGCAGGCTGCAAGGTAGAATTTTCCGATTTAATGAGTGTTGCTGCTTTACCGCAGATTCAACGATCCCTGGTTACTGTTCAAAACAACCGGACATTGAACTTGAACATCAAGTTACAAACCGCAAGAATAGCTTCAGAGCAGTGACGTGCAAATCAACTCATATTTATATTCAGTTGCATAAACTAATACGTCTTCTCTGATAAATACAATACTCAGTTGTTCATTATCATCACGGTTCAGGTTTAACATACGATATTCCAACCACTGTGGTATAAACCACATACTGCGCCTCGTCTGGACTTATACACCTAGTAAACGGCTTCCTACTGTTATACTCCCAAAATACTTCTCACGGTTCATGCCGAATGAGTCGAGCATAAGTACAGATAAAACGAAAGTTTGTCGCCATTCGAATGTCGACATTAATTCACTGTCATGATTATTTTGGCGCTTTTCTTTTCATGACGTTGATGGCGCGGTACTGATCTCCGTTCATACGCCATCAGCCAAGAATGGCTTATTTTTATTTTAAAGGCACAGTCTACAGTCATGTATCAAGCTAGCCTGGAGCCTCTTGTTTCCTTCTCACAAAGTGGTACTCACAGATCAACCTCTGAAGGCGAGTGACCCTGACCGGGAATTGAACTCGGAACCTATCGGTTCGACGCTCTACCGACTGAGCAATTCAAGACTGAAGCAATGTTGGTCAATTCCTTGCTCAAGGTAATTCATGAACACGGCACCTCCGGAATTCGTAACAGACCTCTTAAATACCGCGCGAACATGCCGATTATGAATATGATAACCATTGAATGTGCATACACAAGTAGGGATATTCCCGCGCCGCGACACTGACGAGTTAAACACACCGACATGAACCAAGGATAACGAAAAGTTTATTAACTGTAAATTTCAGAACAGAACCTAATCCTTTTTATGCATTCGAATAATTAACGCCAAAAAGATAGAAAATGGTGCAGCACCAGTTATATATAATAACAGTTCTGACAACTCAACAATATAACGGTGACGATGCCCACGTGATGAAGAGTTTAATAATAACATATAGAAATTGTAACGAAAGCGATAAAAAGAATTCGTTTAAAGCAGGCAATGCAGGTCTACGGACTAAAGGCATTCCAGGAAAGGCAGTAAAATCATACAATTTAGACTTGCTGAACGGTTCGCTGCGTGTGCGTGGCACGTTCCTGAAACAAAAATTTACGGAAGCGATGCGTATATCATTTAAAGTAAAGAGTAACATCATCACAGTCTTTAATCATTCGCCTACCTCGTTGTCGCGATTGAACAGTACAGTCTGGACATTGTTTCCACTCCCCCAAGTTGTTTCACCGTCGAAAATCAGTTCACTTGGTGGATGATGGAATCCTCCTTGTTCGCGAGCCCATATCTAAAACAAACAGTAATTAAGATGCGCGAGCAAATTACAAATACGAAAGTACTGTCATTTTGGTAATGACACCGTGTGTTCTTGTTCGATGCGCCCGTAATGCACCATTATCTGCGATAAGAAAAAAGGAAAAAAAATCTTCACCATTAGAAGGTCCATCTTTCTTACACCTTCATGATTGAGGGTTGTGTACCAGCATACATTTTCTAAAATTTATGATGCACTGCAACAGGTGACTTCCGTTATTATGCCATTTGCCAGGAGCAGCTATGTTGCAAGCACAGTGTATGTTATTCTGCTTCATTTCCACAAAGCGGTGTGGTGCTCATGTATCAATATTGGAACAAGATCGAGTAGATCTGAACTCGTGACCTTTCGGTTACGAGTCCGTCGTTCAACCGACTGAGCAATTCTGATAACTCCACTGCGATCGAATAATTCTTAATCCAAAAGAACCCAACCCTCGCAAACATGCAAAGCATTTATGCTATCATTCCCTGCAAACTTCGGCTCTAGGTAATGAATATATTTAACATATCATACTGTCCGTAATTTTTGAAGTGTAGTTATACCCACCAATATTAATAATGATTATCACTGTTTAAGATCTATTTCTATTTATTGGTGAATTTTCATAAATCGAAACCAATTTTGCATAAGATTAAGTCGCTTTTTACCTATTTCCATTTTATTACCTTACACGTCTTTCCTGCTCTCAGAACAATGTTTGGTGGCAGTATGTAGGTGATTTCGCGTTTTCCGTCAATCTTCCTGCGGATCTTCCAGTCACCGATGTTCTCATCCTGAAACGCGCATTCAAAACAAAACAACACTTTTTTCAAGCTGATACCTTTGAACGGTGTGAATTTTCAAGAACAATGAATTTCCCCTCTGGGTCGCATTCGGCAATAGTCACGTTACCTTTGGCCGACCTCTGGAAGGTGGTGCGCGTCGACATTTCTCCTCGAACAGTTCGACTGCTTTCTGAAATGGAAAAAGAACTCAGTCGATTTTCATTAACCGGGGCGCTAATAAATGAGCATATGAGGTCTACAAAATTCACCTATACTGTCTTATTGGGCATTCACTATTCCTGTATAAGAGAAAAGTTTGAGACCAGTGGAGCGCCATTTGTTTTTATCCCGTCATCATTGGCCATTATTAATGATTCCCTTCCTGAGCTTACGGCGCAGTGGCAATATCCCCTGCTGTATAATCAGCCAGAAGTACTTAGTTTTTTAAGGCCATATCAGCAGCTAGGCAATCAGTCAACAACGTTCAGTCTCCTACTTCCTTCTCACCAATCTATCGCTATTTATTTACTTCAGAATTACGCTAGGCTCTAAAACGCACCATCCTTCGACCATGAGTTCGACGCTTCACCAACTCAGTAACCTCGGCTAAATAAAATAAAATAAATCCCTACTAACCAACGAAATAATTAAAATAACTGCTGCATGTTTAAAAGACTCACCGGTGTCTTCGCTCTGCTGCAGGCTGTGTGATTTTACAACCTGTTCTACCATCTGCCTGAGACCGGCGCGGTTTTCTTCGCCTTCTAGCATCTTACGGTAGATGGCAATTTCGGCATCGAGGATCTGCTTCGTGTCTAGCAGGGCCTGCAGCTCGCCGACCAAAGCTTGGCATTCATCGCGCAGTTTTCGTAATTGAGCATCACGATCATTAAGGGCAAATTCATATTGTCGTTGGTCGTCTTCTAGTTGATGATTCAGTTCCTGGACTTGTTTCTCAAGGGTTATG